GGCAACGCCACCAGCGGGCAAGACTTCGAGCCAAGTTAGCTCAGACAAACGGTTTCGGAATGGCCAGTTTGAGCGGCACGACGCAGATTCACAGTCCAAGTAAGTCGATCCCTTTCACTGCCAATCTTCTTAGCCGAACCATTAGTTGTCTGGCCAACATTGGCCTGGTTGATGCCAATGCCAACACGCTTACCAATCGAAGATTGAATTCTTTGGACCAGACTCATTTCAAATGGGTTCTGGCTAGCGATCAGGAGAATGCGAATCGTATGAACAGTTTCAGTCATCACTAAGCCACGGAGAACAGTGTCATCCTGGTGGGTTGTGGGCCCCATTTCTCTTCTATTTTGCTGAAACTTGAGAGCAAATTGCCCGATTTCCCAAGATGGAAGATGATAGGCAAAACTTACATACTCGTATAGCAAAGGTTTTACCAATTAGCTGTCCAGTTAACTTCCTCAAAGACCAGAAACCCGCTATCAGAATGCAATAATCAAATCAATATTCATATTTGGTCTATAGTAACTTAATGTGGGTCGCCTTTTCTAACCGGAATCTCTTGATTATGATTGCATAAAGTAAGGTTCAAAACTATCAGTAAATTTTGAATAGGGTTGCATAGAGTGATGAAGGATGGATAGATGATTTTTCCCGCAACCATATAAATAGGCCTTACGCCTCAGCCGAAATTCACATAGCCATCGTATCCAGGGTGGAGTGCAGCTTCAACCTCTTCTAGGTTTCATCAGTAACCCTGGTGGGATTCGATGCCCTATCGTGAGTATCGTGGTGAGGTTACCACCCCACTACACATTAAGTGACTTAGAGTGAATAAGTTTTTATTCAAGTATTACTCATAGTCTCCAAAACTACTGCTAACGGAAATGAGTAGTGCCGCCGATTACAATGGAACGCACATTTTTGTCAACTGCACTCACAAGGATCAAACAGCGCCGGAGTGCTGATCAGACCTAGGCGAGGTTGAATCTACAGTTCGCCCTGGATGAAAATATGTTTTGACAAGGAAAGTCGTGTAACTTTCACTGGCAACATGGGATCTTCTCATATAATTGTAAGAAAATTCAACTATCCATCCTTCGTCATCGACTGTCAGTTTCGAAACCTACTCAAACCGATTATAAGTTATATAGTTTATTGTAATCGCACTTATAAGTTTATTTTATCTAAAATCCCAATATGGATATGTAATATGGGAAAGGCCTCGCCTTGTTTGAGATTAGCTGTTTCCTGTGACTTAGAAGTACTCATTTCAGAG